AGATCACAAATATTGATATTACAAATATTGCATAAATTCATATGATTTCATATTTTTAGATTTATAAAAGACAACAAATGATAACTTTTTTTGAGCAAATATTCAATGAGAATGAGTGAAAGTAGCCGTATGTGTTGGACATGTATTTAAAGTTAATGAATAATAAATAAATGGTAATTATGGCACTGAAAGCTAAAAGTTAACTAAACTTAAAGTATGCGAAAGAAAGTAACGAAGAATTTAGTGATTAAATTATGATTAAAATGTTAGATATGATACAACTCTAATGATGATCCCATTTGTTGTAGTAATTTAATCATGCTAAATTATTCTGTAGATTATCACAGATTTGCTGTCACAGATGAACTAGTTAAGTTTTTTTTATTTTAGAACTTAAAATTAAGTCAATAGATTATTTAAGAAGTTTTAATGAAATATTACGAGATAGCTCTTTATCTCATTTAGAAAAATATTTTGTTAAAAATAATAAAATTGCTCAATCATATTGATTTACAACAATTACAATACAGCATATAATAAGAAACTGTTTATTTATTTATTTAATATATTTTGAAATTTTTAATATAATATTTATGATATAAATATTTCAAAGATTAACGATTCGCCTAATTATTTAAATGATTTGTTTTATAATAAAACATATACTTTTTAGTAGCACTGAATTTATTTAATATATTTTGAAATTTTTAATATAATATTTATGATATAAATATTTCAAAGATTAACGATTCGCCTAATTATTTAAATGATTTGTTTTATAATAAAACATATACTTTTTAGTAGCACTGATTTGTTTATTGAAAACTTTTTTTCAATTAATCAATTCTTATTTTGCAACCCTTTCCTGAAACTATGGTTTAATTTTAGAAAAAATCTCATTAATAAAGTACTATTTTTGCCATTTATTATATTTAATTAATTGGAAAAAATAATACAATCACTAAAAGTCGGTTATAACCGTAAAACAAGTTATATATTTATTCACTTTAGAAAAGAAATATTAATTTTAAGAGAATCTGTATTTATCTACTTATAATTCATTTCAATAGAATTTCAAGAATTTAAAAAACTAAAATTTAAAATCCGAGTTATTTCATAAATAATTAATTAAATTGTTATTCATTTTGTGAGCAAAACTATTATATATTTTATACTTTTATATTGGATTTAAGAAGAATTATTGACTCGAAGTGATTGCATGTGAATGTATGGCATAACTAAATGGCAATTATAGTCAACTCTCGTCTCATTGTGTATTCAGTTGAGGAGAAATTTTAAAACAAATAAATTATTTATATTTATATCAAATCAATACACTATTAGAATATTCTGTTGTGTTGTGTATAATACACGAAGAATTGATAACAAAAATTGTGATGAATTTGTATTAAAAGATAATTCAAACTCTTTTTAAATCGAAAGTTAATTAAATATCTCAATCAAAATGATTGAAAACAGGAAAATATCAATCATTTTGTTTTGAAACAAAATTTCGTTTCGAGTCGTTATGAATATTAAATAAAAGCAAAAACTACATTGAATTTCAAACAACATTTGTTTATTAATTATGAAAAGTACTCTCAAAAACCAATAAACTATTGATTGATAGCAAATAAGTTGTCATGAGATTAAGTGTTTTGGCTTTAAATACAGGTTTTCTTACAAATAACGGTCAATACATTAGTTTAACATTAATTAAGTGCAAAATTTTCTTCTATTTTCACATCAATTACTGAATGCATTCATAAAACTTGATTTCCTTAGGCTTTAAAAACATATTACAAGTGCTGTTAAAAGTATTATATCTAACATACAGTTAACTTACATTGGAGTTATAATTAAAATAAAACTCTTTATATTAAGACATTGAAATTCATGTGACGATTGAATTCTTGGATTATTAGGTCATCCCATATATAACTTATGGTAAGTTATATTAATATCAGGTTTTAATTGATATGCTTAGCTTAACATATATAATTATAGCTTTATATATATATATGGTATTTAATTAAATATAAACACAAAATGTTTAAAAATTAAAAATCATATAAAATAATTGTTAGTTTTGATGGTTTTAAACAAATATTGAATACAAAACACGCGAAGAATTGAATACAGAGAGGAGTCGATCAATCATACGATACGAATGCCATCAATGACTGTCTTCTCAGGCTTTCACCTAAGAATTGGTTGAAACAAATCACAAATTACTTGAAAATGCCTAAAATGTGGGCAAATCGATGGCAACAGAGGGATAATGTATGACAAGAGGCCATACCTTATAGCACTTCTTCTTGCACTGACGGTCGCAGTCGGTGTCCAACGAAACCAACCCATACTTCTTACAGCGCCTCACTTTCAGACACTTGTCCATACAGGCCATCTCGAACACACACTCACCCTGGTCAACTGAGTTGATTAGTATGAGTGAACACAGACACAGCATAACTATGAGAAAACGCGAATCCATTTGCGATTTTTGTGTTAATCTTTCTCTCGAAGAAGTGACGACAAAATGTGTGTAAAAACTTTTGTCGACGATATTTAGCGTTGATTTTAAGAGTGGCTCATTTGGTGTCAAACTATTGGCTCATTCATTGGTGTGCTTTGAGAGCACTGTTAGCCTCATTTGGAGCCGATTTGAATCGATTAGAATCAAGTGATTAGAGCCTCAATACTTCAAAACCAGTCTTTTCTCTCCATTCAGTCATTCAGTTATTCTAATAGTTCTTAGACTAAGACTTAAGTGTTGGACAAATAATAGACATTAAAAGCTCAAAAGTGAAGGCCATTTGTCTTTTAAATCAATATTTACTTCAAAAGTTTCAAATTTCTTCATAAATTGTGAATATTAATAGCTTCAGACACTAACAAATAAATATTGTCATCAATAATTCAATTAATAAGTAATTTTAGATTCTGATAAACAGTTAATATGTGTGTCTTTGGTGTGTCCTATTATAACTTATTAAT